GAGCTTTCGAGCAGCTGGCTGAAGGCTGGAGAACCTGCCTGGTGGTGACTCACCGAGCTCATCCCTTTGCCTGGAGAAGGTTGGCCATGAGCTTCTGTTCGGTGGCAGAGGCAGCTTTAGTGTTCCCGGCCACTCCTCTCTCCTTGCCCCCGCGTCTTTCGCCCCATTCCTTTGTCTCCGCAGTTGCACAGGCCGTGTCAGGGCGTCGTGTGAGATGGGTGCAGGGGACGGGTGTTGGTGCGGCAGGAACGGTCCCTGCGGGCTGGTGGCTGGAGCGGAGCGCTGTGCCGCTGCGGTTGGCATGTCTGCCCTGTGCCGCAGCGTGCTGCCCGGGCGTCACCGCAGGTCGTGTCCACGAGAGCTGCCGGCCATCCCCGGGCACTGAGACCGGAGCGCATCCTGGCGAGCGGGGAAGAGCCGGTGGCTGGAGCCGAAAGCGTGGAGGCCCATGCTTGGACATCACGAGGAAGCGTTCCCGGAGCACGGTGTCGACTCTGGAGGTGCTGCCCCAGCAGTGTGGCCCTCGGTCCCATCCCCTGGCACGGGTGGGCTGCGCTGGGGCCACTGACCCCGGTGCCAGGAGCTTGGGAGTGGGCACGACCTGAGGCAGCGGTGACACTTGGAGACGCGTGATGGGACTTGGGAATTGGGTTTTCTTTCTCATACGTGTGCTGTTTTCCTGAACACTATTAGCTTTTCGGTGCTGGGTGCCTGCTTGAAATTCTCATCATGAAAGTCTGGTGTTTCTGCCTGGGACTTCCTGCACAGAAACACACCCACCGGGGCTGTGCAGCACCTCCACGGAAACTCCGGCATCTCCAGCAAACATGGGCGCTGTGCGTGTGCCCAGTGAACCTGGTGGTCTGGTCCAGCGGTGGGTTCAGGAAGGGCACGAGGTCAGCGGTGCACTGCCAAGCGCTTTGGTGCCACTGCGTTTGCTGTGAGGCAGCCGGGGACACACAGAGGATGTTGGATCTTCCAGAAACACAACAGCCCCGTTGGGAGATCTGCACAGGGGTGTCTCTGGTGGCTTCTGTCTGGTAGAGGTACCAGACACCGTAAATCCCAGTGAAACAGCCGGTCCCCATGCCCTGTGCTGATTGATCCCAGGGACAGAGAAGGAGGATGCCCACAAAAGCCCTTGGGTGGATGGTGTGCTGGGCAGCAAGCAGCCCGTGTCAGTGGTGCATTGGGTGGAGCAGAGTGAACCTTCGGTAGTGGAGGAGCCACCAGGCTCCAGGCTGCATGGGGCAGCTCGGGCAGGAGATCCAAATGGTGTCCGTGTGTCAGACACCCACCCCAAGGACACCTTCATGTGAGCACTGGGAGCGTGGTTCAGGCACGGGAGGAGGTGTAGGGTGCCCTAAGGTGGGAGTTGCTTACGTACGAGAAGCTCCACGGTAAGGTCAGACTATCCAGAGGCAGAGGTGGCTTGGGTGCTTTTCGGGAAGCCATGTGGAAGAGGAGCGGGAGCTCGCTTTGCCCGGGTACGGGGAGCTGCGGCCCCGGGCCGGCCGGGATGGCGTCCAGGGCTC